GGAGGGAGGGAGGGATGGGGACCCGGTGAATGTCCAATCATGGAGATCTATCACCATAAACGATCTGAGCCACGGGGTGGGACATGCTCCCCTCAGGCTGACGACATTACATCTGTCTGGCGGCTGTGTGTTTGGGGGGTGGTGAGGAGGGGAGGGATGACCGGTTCTGAGAGTATGCAAGTGACGATTTGTCTTCTGGTCTCTTAATCACAACACAGTGATGACGACAAAGATAACAATAATTAAAGCAACAACAACAGCAACAACAACAACAACAACAACAACAACAGCAACAACAGTAGCAGCAACAATAACAATAACAACAACAACATTAACAACTATAACAACAACAGCAACAACACCAACAACAACGACAACAACAACAACAACAACAACAACAATTTCAACAGTAACAACAATGATAATAACAGGAACACTATCTAGAACAAACAAACAACATCTACTACGGTTACAGTATCGACAGTAATAACATTAGAAACAGCATGAACAGCAGCAACAGCTTCAGCAGCAACAGCAACGACAGCAGAAGAATCAACCAAAAAGGCAAACAGCTACACCAACCCCATCAGCATGCTACATACAATAGCACCAAAGGCAACAGCAGCAGAAGATAGCCTGTCAATTTGAGTCAATGTAACACTATAATACGCTTTGCAATATGGAAGGGCAAAAAGCTACCATCTTGGCTCAGTTTGACCTTCCACCAAGTCCTGCAAAATCAAGCAGCGCTTGTTTGAAGTCGAATTGGTCCTACTCGTCGCGTGAGAACAGCCAATCACAAGGCGTGTAGCCTTCGAGTCACATGACATTGCTATGTCAAGGTCAGGTCTTTTGTTTGCGCGCGGAATGTGATAATGGAAGGTGTTGATGTGGAGATGAAGATAGAGAGCTAAATATTGACAGTTCCCATGTTTGTGTTGATGTGGAGAGGAGCATAGACTTTGGGTTTATTTTATTTGTTTATTTGAGTAAAGAGAAGCACATCGACAGAATAATGGTCATTTAGTGTTGGGAAAAAGTAAGACAGACAGAAACAACATAGGAAAAGTAAAGAAGTAGGACCTACCAGAGGCATCCTCCAACCACCCACAGATAGATAAAAAGCTACAGATATTTCCCGTCTCTGTGTTGATGTGGAGAGGAGAAAAAAAAAGAGAGAGAGAGAGAGAGAGAGAGAGAGAGAGAGAGAC